ATGTTGCTTTTAGAAAAACCCGGAACACAAGGTGAAAATCCGGGACTGTCCCGGCTAAACCGGGGCGTATTGTCACCTTAATTAATTAAATCTTTTTTTATTTCAATTGACGTAAAAGCTCAATACACAATTTATAAAAAGACTACCTCTACGACTATAATTAAAAAAATCTCATTGCTTTAGTAAATGCTAAATAAAGATTCAAAATTACGCTATTTGTGAAATGTTTATTTTGATTTTGCTAGTTATTCCACTATACAACGAAATAAGCATATCGATTAATTATTATTTAATCAATATTATTTACAAAATAAATATTTTAGTGTTTATATAAACATCATTCTCAATTTGTAATATAACTCTATACCTTTATGTATTTCTTTGCAATATCGTATCTTATTATTATCATTGTATATTCGATAGCTTAAAATACAGAACAAAAGTTGAAAAAATATGGAATGTAAATGCAAATGCATATGCAAATAAAATTGCATTTGCATTTTAAAATAAAAATTGATCAACTATAGTAATGGGCCGAAAATTGAAAATGAAATTTTTTGCATATCTTCATGTTTCAGAGGTTTCTGAACATTTTGGCATACCTCAGAAAAATGGATGTGCGTGTGTCCGCATTTTTTCGTTCACGTTTTCGGGCGCACGGATCAACCGATTTGAATGATTCAAAAAACATTCGATTCCTATTGATAGGGAGAAAAAAATGCAGTTTTTGAGAGAACTAAGCATCCGATTTGAATGATTCAAAAAGCTTTTGCTTGTGTTGACAAACAAATACTTTTGGATAATTTTTTTTTTTGTATTTCGAAAATAATTCAGATTTTAATTTTAATTCTGGCTAATGTTCTAAAGCTCACTTACACAGTTTATATAAGTAATTTTAACTTTGTAATTCAGTTTATATAATTCTTATAAATTTTAGACATAAATTAGAGTATTTACACTTAATATTCCTTGAACATTTTGTAACGGTACGGAAAGTTTCCGCAATTTGCTTTAAATCACGATGCCATACACCACTAATTTACTTTTTTATTGATTATAATTTCCATAAATTTCCAATAAAATATATTGATTTTATAGTATCTACAGAAAAATATCTGGTTGAGGTACGTACCTTATTAATCAATTAGAAATGATTATCAGCATCAGCATTCCAAGTCCTTTTTGAAATAAGTTTGTAATACACTTTTAACTATTATCATGTATAATATCATTAAGTCTGTCATTCTTCAAAAACAAACTTTTGTCGCATTTAATATGCAAAAGTATTAAAATTAAAAGTAATTATGATGCATGTTTTTGTTTAAATTATAAATTAAAACTTAACTTTTTACGAAATCACGCATTTTAATGCCACTGTCATATGCATAATAAATATTGAATTGAGATAATAAACAATACTGGTTTGTTTAATTATCAGAACTACCACCAGAAAAATATTCACGGGGTTAGAACACAGGTGCACCATATGCACGCGGTTGACTCGATAGGGTCGGCGTTAGAGAATTAATTATATGTATAGGTAATATACAACTATATATAATATAATACTAGCCGACCCGACAGACTTCGTCCTGTCAAAAAAATTTGTAATGTGGCGGTGTTTTGTTCCTTCCTTTTTTCTATTCTTTGCAAAAAATTATCCTGAAAGGAACCGTAACCCTGGTAATAAAAATAATTAAATAAAAAACTGTAAGCATTTAAAAGTAAGTAATTTTAATAATGTAAATCATAATTCAAAAATCAGTTCAATTTTCATTGTAGTGATTTGTGATAAACGATGTTTTTTGTTTGATTACCGGGCGCATAGACAAACAAATCTGATTTTCCAATACGGGAACAGACAACATACAATTTTCCATGTGAGAAACATGGGTTTTCCAATTTAATACCACAAACACCTAATGATACCACAAACGCACTGGAAACTGTAGTTGTTTAATCTCAAATGGCAAATCAGTAGGAATCATTGGGATGCACGGTGCGAGAACATCTTCTGCTTTATACTATCCTTTCAATATATTTGCTTCCATCACGTTGTTTGGTAGTTTTTTTATCGCTAACCTTGTGCCTTTGCAAAGGCGATATTTCGCAACATTATAATTGCCCATCCAACCTTTAATTGAAGATTGTGAGGTGACAATCCTGGCAAATTCAGCAAGTTTAAAAACTCCGGTGGATCGTCTTGGTTAGTTGCCGAATCAACTGATTCGCCTGTAATTTGTTCTTGAATTTTGAAATGTAATTAATTTACATCAATGTTTTTGGTTGCCAATATAGCTTGATTAATAGAAAGATATTTCTATGTTTATATAAATATGTTCAAAATTAGATTATCAAAAACTACACAAAATGTCATGACATAGATCATTGTTTTTTTTACAAATTGCGTTGCCTACTCGATTAAAGAAGAACAGGGCTGTTTTTAGGGTTTTCCCGGCAATTATTCGTTTTTTTCTCGCCGTAAAAACCATCCTTGGACTTCAACGAACATTTTAAAAAAGAATTGGCCAAATTGGTCCAGGCGTTGTTGAGTTATGCGCTTACCAACACATTTTGCGATCCATTTTTATATATAAGATACAACTATGGTGCATGGCCTTAAGGGGTTACACCACTGTAGCAGTAAAAAAAACGTATGTTTTTGCCATTTTTTTCGGATGGAAGGAAAGTATTATATTCATGAAATTAGAGATAGTTATTTATTGTACTTTAAAGTAATAAAATAAAATATAATTGTGAAAAAAAAATGGCGGTACTACAGCCATTTCGGCGAGCCGCGTCAAAATCCGCGGCACGCAAAATAACTACAACAATTTGAATTTTTTTCATTCGAATTTTCAATGGCACATTTGAAATAAAATTTTAAAGTGCCCGTCATAGCGGATTTGAAAAATATCGATTTTTGTTTGCTTGGCGAGCACTCTATTCAAAATCGTTGAATATCAACGAAAAAAACGGCTTGTAATTTGTTAATAATTGATGAACAAATTAAGATATAAAAGATCTCCTATGATGGGCACTTAAAAATGTAATTTTAAATATACTGTAAAAAATTCTAGTGGAAAAAATTCAAATTGTTGTAGTTATTTTGCGTGCCGCGGATTTTGACGCGGCTCGCCGAAACGGCTGTAGTACCGCCATTTTTATTTTTTTTTTACAATTATATTTTATTTTGTTACTTTGAAGTACAATAAATAACTATCTTTAATATATTCATTTTAATACTATTCCTTCCGTTCGAAAAAAAAAATTGCAAAAACATACGTTTTCTTTAATGCTACAGTGGTGTAACCCCTTAAGGCAAATTGCAGGAACTTACCGTACCTGAAACTAAATTATTAAAATTATTATGATTTTTTTATATTTTGATTTTTATTTTGTATTTTGATTTATTTTGAAAATTTCAAACATTTTTTTTAAGCAATCTCACTGCACAGCTGATTTGGAGTCGAAATATAAAAGTGTGTATATAACTGTACACAAAATTTGTACTTATTATTATAATCTTTATAAAATATCTGATAATACGATGTGCATATGTCTCATGTTCATTTTTGACCGCTTAATCCATTATTTTTTACTTTTTTATTGGATCTCCGGAGAAGATGCTCGACCTGCCTTACAAAAAATTCACCAGTTCTTCATCTTGTCAATACAAGTAAAATGTTTTTTGCATTATTTAAATCGGACGCTCTGTTATCTCAAAACCTGAAATACTATTTTTGGCACTTTTTGCCCCGTATCTCCGAAACGGCTAGATCTGCCTTTGCCAGTTTTTGGCGCATCTCCTTATCAGTATAGGAGTCCAATGTTTTTTGAATTATTCAAATCGGTTGACCCGTGTTCGCAAAATCGTCGACGAAAATTGGTATCCGCACACACACACATACATCCATTTTTTCTAAGGTATGCCAAATTGTTCAGAAACCTCTGGAACGTAAAGATATATAAAAAAAATTATTTTCGATTTTTTTTGCGACAACTATAACTTACCCTACGGGAAGTTAATAATATTCTAATACTGTATTACAATAAAATCTTTACATTTTTGTTTAAAATTTGTGTTTTCTTATTACTTCAAACATTATGGTTTCAAAAGTTGTTGTGTATATTAAAAATACTTGGGATACGATATTAGGATTTATCTAGAAATGTCGGCCGCTCAATAAAAAGGTACTTGTATTTGGATTTATAATTGCATTTATATTTGTACATACTTACTTAAACTTGTTTTTATATTTGTACTTGAATTTATTTCTATTTCCATATCAACTTCTATTTTTATTTGCATTATTAAGCTGATATATGTAGTGATAATAATATAAATAAATAACAATGAGTAAAGTTATATTACAAAATGAGATGCTTATAAAAAACTAAAAGAAATGTTTTTAAATAATAATGACGGAACAATAATTAAAAACTATGAGTACAATTGTTGTCATAGAAATAATTACAAAATCAAAAATTTACAAATAGCATCCGTTTGCTGTTATATATATATATATATATATATATATGGTAATTTCGTGGAACAAAATATAATTCAGGAAAATCAAAGATCAACCACAAATCAATAATGAGCAATATATTGTTAAACTTTTTTTTTTATTATATATATATTAACATACCAAGATAATTATGATTACCTATTATGATATATTGAAAAATTTGGTTTGTATTAATATCTATTTATTAAATGTATTATTTATTATATAATATAAAGTTCTAATAACATTATGGATTAATAAAACTATTCTTGTTCTCCAGAATAGGATAAATTTTAGTAACAACCAACTCACACACACATTCACACATATATATATTATAAACATACAATGGTATATATAAGGATGCATTATACATACCATATGCATGTGAAGATTACAAAATTTAACTATAAAATTCAAAAATAACATTTAAAATATGTTTCTCAAAAAATATGTATATCTTAAAATTTCTTCTGAATTAACATATGGTCATCTATCAGATTGCACATTCAAATTTCTTTGTAAATGATTGGGGGCATCAGCAAAAGTAAATTTCAATCTATATGCTTCAGCAACCAATACACCTATATTACAATCTGTCCAATCTTGTGTTGGCAAATTCTGAAGTAAAATCATCAAACCCTGCGAAAGTAATTAAAATATACATAGTGATAAAGTTATCGCAATTTACAAAGACATGCAAATAGCATACTTGAAAATCTTTTTCGTGCAATATTTGTTCTCTCCATTGTAATAAAAATGCTGCACAAACGTATAACTGAAATGAAGCAAATCCATCTGATTCAGCAAGATATGTATCCCATAACCGTATTGTGCAATGTAAAGGAAGTTCTCGAGTGAGCAAATTGTTCATCCAACGAAAAGAAAATTGCAGGTAGTCGACACCATGCATTTGTAAATGTTTGTGCAGAGGCTCTAAGTTTATTGAAAAAAATAAAATGTTATAAATGGATCCTGTATTATAATATTTGAGAGTTACTAAGTTACCATCCACTCTTTGAATGAGGTCTTTCAATTGATTAACCTTTGTCTGTATTCCTAATTGTGCAAATATATAGTTATCTTGTATGCAATCAAGAAATTTTGATAAACACCAGAACGAATCAGCTTCAATTATGTCTCTATGCTCCTTTGATAAATTTTCTATATTAAAATTTTCTACAACAGTACCTACAATGAAATGATTATTATAATACATGACTAAAACTGAAAAACAATCATTCATATGCAACCTATAGACAACGCTTCTTGTAGAAAAACCATGAAAAAAGGTGTTACTAGATCATTGATTCCTTGCACATAACCAGAAGCGGGATGCCTGATTGCCCAAATAAAAAGAATTCTCTCAAACATTTCTTGAACAGTTGACTGTTGAAATAGTGCTATCATTGGATTCATGCGAGGAACATCAATATGAATCTGCAATTACATCAAAAATAATTATGAAGGCTGTAACATTATTTCTTGCACTTTACATTTACCAGCAATAATTTGCAAATAATACAAAAACCCACTTGTCGATATGTATCTTGATAAGCTTCATCTCTTTCTGTATCATAATATTGCTGAACTAAGTTCCAGTAATCCAATCTCTTTCGTTCTAATACTGCTTGCCTACGTTCTAAACTAGCTGGCAAATACCCCGAAAGTAAACGCCATGTGATAGCTCTGACCTAATAAAATATGAAATTAAGAGTTTGTTATCACTTATAAAACTACTTGCAATTATTTACCTTTGCTGGTATGCCTGACCAACCCAGTTGCCTCAATTCTGACAAATTCAATAAATTTGAATCAAGTAGAGGCGTAAATTTATTTAGTTTTGATTGACACGTTTGGTCTTTTGAAGTAAATACTGAACATCGAAATGGTTGTGGCCTCCCTGGGTAAGCCTGATTTGTTTTTTTCAATATTTTATCAATAGTAGAACTGCAAATTTGGAACTCTTAGTTGAAAACAACATCAAAAATATTGTAAACACAACTAAACAAAAATGTAGCTTTTTAAAAAATAAATACATCAAAAAATCTATGCATGAAATGTAACTTACGTGTTAGGTGGGTTTGTTGAAGATTCACATGAATCACTTAATTTTGTGGTACATTTATCTTGTATGGCTGTTTCATGAACAATACTGGCAGAGATTTGAGCATTGGAAGGTATCAAAGATTTCTTATGTGTTCTAATAACATTTAAAGCTGCGTTATGTGAGACTCTTTTTGATATTTTGGTATCTGAAATTTAAAGCACTTCAATTGCAACCACTTGCATAAAACCAAATGTTTTTAAAACTTAATATGAACGCAGTCGTTGTACCTGGAATTATAGAAAGATCATCATCATCTTCCAAATCCCAAGCGTCGCTGACCGACTCTTGGAAATCCTGGAATGATGTGGAGCCTGACAATCGAACTCTGTTTGATTCTGATCGTTGTGGATCTTTTTGACTAGGTCGACCAGGCACAACATGATTATTTTTTTTCCAGAAGGTAGTTTTAGAATTGCTTTCAAAACTTGGTATATTTGATGAAGCATTCATATTAAATTACGCTATGTAATACATAGTTTATTCAAGACGAAAATAGAAAATAATCAAATGGACATCGGCATGAAACATGAGATTTACAAAATTTGTAATAATTGTTTACGTTTTGGAATTTTAAAACAAATTTTAACAAATCTTCATAACATTGCATGATTGAGTTTTGATGACTGTATGACATTTGTCACCTAAACCCGCTTGCGCATGGTTGAAAACATTCCATAAACCATAAAGTTATTTTCGAGCGGATTGCAGCTTTACATTCTCTTGCCGTAAAGCCACTTGCCTATAGTATTTCTTTAAAATTTAGAAGGATCAAAGGAATATTTCAATATATTTCATTCAAATTTCAATTCAATTCCATTGACATATATATGAGAAAATAAACATGGTGGGGTATTGTCTATTTTGTAATTAGATTTTCGAGACTCGCTAAAGATATAAAAGCCTATTGTTTTAATTGCTTTGCTAATAATTGGCAAATTTATATAAATTCATAAGTAATGTCTATTTTTACACTTGAAAATAATAATTAAAAAAATAATTTAACAGTAATGCGAAATTTAATAAGATTCTTAAATTATTCGCGCTAGGTGAAATGCGTTTGATATAGAAAATATCAAATAATTAAACATCGTACTTATTAATATGAGGTAAATAGAGATGTGAGATAAATCAATGCAATTTTTTGTATAAGTTTTAACAAATACTTGTTATTTGTAACAGGGTGTATAGCATATACTCTTCTTTTATCTATGGTGTATAGCCCGCCCGAGCCCGCCATTTCTACTTTATCATCTATGGATTTACTATATTTTTTATCTTTGCTTGTAAGGTGCACATCTATATATCTGAATTGTTGTTGTCTGTGGTGGCGTCTGTTCAACGTACGGTTCGTTCGTTTCAGATATCGCGCGAAAGCTGTTGAGAGTGTTTGTTTCTGGCGCATTTTAGTAATTGCTCGTGAAGAGAAGAAGTGTTCGAAGTTTTAATTTTTTCAGACTGATAATATATTTTAACTATGTTTCAAATAGGAGATAAAATCGAAGCTAGAATGCCGGGGTCTAGGCTGTATTCTCAAGGTATGTTGTGGTGAAATTATCTCAGAAATTTAGTATACATATTTATAATCGTGACTTCTTATTAGCTGAGGTATTAGAGACAAAAGGGACCTCATGTCTCATTAAATTTGGTGACGGCGCTGTACATCAAGTACAAGAAATTTACATTCGACCTGTAACTAAAACTGTAACGTAAGTAAACGTTTAACTAATAAATTCAATTTTATTTTGAATTGTGCGTGTATAATTGTAGTTCTAAATTTTTGCAGGCGATCCCGCCGAAACAGTAGATCTCCAGCACGTAGAAAACCTACTGAAGTGATTGTTTCAGATCTTTCAGAAGATGTTGTGAAGACAAATCAAAAGTGAGCAAATACATATAAACAATTCTGTTAACTTGTTCTGTAGGCACATTTCAGAGAATAAGCACATCCAAATTTTATTTTTCGAACTTGAAGTGAATTAATATAATTTTGTAACATGTGTGCTAAATTTTGTTTATCGTATTTGTGCAGATCATTAGATGAAGCCCTTGTGGGAGTAAAGCCGGAAATTAAAAAGCGAATTGGAAGAAGTCCTGGTAGACCGTAAGTTTTTGATTTCATATAATTATTTATGTAAACTCTTATCCAAAATAAAAATTTTAGCTCAACTGCTAAAAGTACTACCAAAATGAATACTCGAAGCAAGAGTAGAGGTCGTGTTATACGTTTAGACAGGTAAGACTTGCATCAATACTGCTTTTAAGTACGTAACAAATTTTCAACTGTAATAAATTTAAAGTGGTCATGATGAATCGGAAGCACAGCAACCAAAGAAAGTGGTACGTCGCTCAAGTGTAAATCGTTCAACAAAATTGATGTAAGTATATCATAATAAATTCTAATGTAAATTTAATTTACCAGATTCATTAAAGGCATTATTTTATAGGAACAATGCACAAAATCTATGGTCTGAACAACACAGTAGTGCATCTGTAGTCCTTCGTGATATTCTCCATTCATCCAGATCCAATAGTCGTCAAAGTTCATGTACGAACTCCGAACTTGAGATGATTGATCAAAATATTGCAGAACGTGAGTCTCCTGTTTTAACAGAAGAGGATTTCAGACGTTCTGACATAGAAGATACAGTTTCAGAAGTGTACATGATTCAACCGCGAAACATGTTACGTGTTACAAACAGGTAATATGATAGTGTAAATTATTTTGGGTGCTTTGTATTATAATGTTGTCTATGCAGGTCCACCAGACAAAAGTCGGCAACACCGGATGAACAAAATGTCGAACCAATAATTCATGAAAAAGAAGCAACACCTTTGAATCCATTGAATACAGAAATTTCCGATTCTGATGAAGAGGTTAAAAATGTACATAACAAAGACCATTTCATCGTAATAAAAATGATTAAGTTTCTTCTTACAGCTTTTTTGATTTCGGGCACGCCTTTAATTTGCATGTACCTTTATAATACATGTAATATAGACAAGTGCGTTTTTCGGTATCCCCAAGTAACTGATCTAAATAATCTTGAACTTTATTTTTCAAAGCAAGCCTCCATGATGAACATTGCCTTTCTTTCATTTTTAACAGTTTTTTCTATTATTCGCATATTCGGAACTAGCGCCTTTGGTTTTCCCACTAGGGATGGTGTTTTAAATTACTACTTCAATGGTTTTTTTAGTATAATTATCATCACAGTTATTTTTACTTTGTTACACCGGTATAATTTTCCTATTTTGCAATACATTCATGAACAAGATTTCAGATTGATAATTTCCTCACTGATATGTGCATTTTTAATTTCGCTTATTTTACATCTGAGGAAGTACTATGTTTCTATGGTACCATCAATTATGGAACCAAAAAGGAATACAATTTCAGAATTTTGGAATGGATGCGAATTGAATCCTCGCATTTTTTCTATTTTTGATGTCAAGCTGATTTATTATAGAATGGCAATTATGGGAACGGTGAGTCATCAATAGAATTTGAATTAATTATAATAACATATCTATTATTGTTTGTATTTTTTATTTTTAGATTTTATTGTTGACAGCCTATGTACATGAAGACGCTTGGAACCTTATAAGAAATGTGTTATATGGTGAAGCCACTGATTACAATTCTACCCTAATTCTTGTAACTGCTCTGAATATTTTTTTTCATTTGGATTTGGTGTTTCATGAGAAACAACTGACTGCCACTTTTGAAATTCAGAATGAGGGTACTGGATTCATGTTATTACTGAAGGACAATCTTTATCCATTTGTCACAGCTTTTCCTGTGAAATATATACTATATCGAAACATAAGAGCACCCTCTATAGCATTAGCATTTATCGTAGGCATGTTTTTTGTTGGTTATTTGCTGTTTCGATATAGTAATAACATGAAATATGCTGTTCGAATTAACCCAGCTGATTACAGAATTAATTGTATGTATTAAATTTTGTAACCGGTTTTATTCTGTTTGTAATTATATTATAATCTTTTTTTTTATTGCAGATAAAGATTTATATATAACTTTTTCTGGTAAGAAGCTGCTTCTTGCTAAGACATGGGGTTTTGTTAGGCATCCTAACTATTTGGGACACATCATGGTTTTAGTTTCATTTAGTTTGGCCTTACTCTGGAGTGCACCTTTCAATGTAATAAGCTTTTTGCCACTAATTATTAGTGTAATATTTCTACTACACCGAGCTGCACGAGATGGTCGCCAGTGTGAGAAAAAACACGGTGCCAGTTGGACGAGGTACTGTAATGTGGTAAAATATAAGATAGTACCACATATATATTAGTAAATTGAAGTGAAAGATAAAAACTCTTATATTTAACTGGGATTTTAGTGAGTTTGAGTGCTGATATTTTGATGAGCTGGAAACATGACTATTTTTATTTTATGTACATTAACTATACTTGTATTTTTTTGTGATTTTACATTTACTTATTTTTATCTTACATCAATGTTTAATTAACAAAGATTTTAAATCTTGTGATAGTTTAAATATTTTTTTATTAGGAATTTTATATTAAGATTGCATTTTTTTAATTCTGATAATCAAGTAATTAACAATTTTGTGCATTTATACTTCATAATAATTCATGCGTACTCAGGGTATGCAATATATTATTTTTTTCCTTTGTATATTAAAATAAGAAATATGTTTGTGTAAAGATCTCTGAACTATTGGACTGATCTTGCAATATTATATAATATGAATTAACTGATTGATTAAATTGTCTCGATATATTACTAAATTGATTGATATAATATTAAATTGATTTTAATATAATATTAAATTAATTTCAATATTTAAAAATAATTAAATAATAATACTAATTAGCACAGCTATTTTCTTATCCAAAATTAAATGATGAATTCATTATTAATAGTGATTTGTATATGTAATACTATTGATTTTAATATAATATTAAATTAATTTCAATATAATATTTAAAAAGAATGAAATAAAATTTAGTAATCATGTAAATATATGTTCAAGATATTATCTCAATGAAATGATAAATTAATTATTAATAGTAATATGTGGACTTGTCAAAGCCATAACAGTCCCATAATAGAATATAAGATATATAAATATATATTTTCGCATAGATTATAAAAGATTTTTTATATGCAAATTTGTTACATTGTATATTAAGTACTATAGTAATAAATAAATATATTTAGTCAAGCCAGAGTCTTTATTAATGCTGCAAATGTACAATAAGAAATTAAGTATTTTCGTATGATAATTTACTGTGTAGGCATTGTAGTTCAGTAGCTGTTTTATGTTGAATGATATTTTTTGTGTTGTTAAAATATTATGAAAATCAATGCTGATTTAAAGTATGATATTGAGAAACTAAGGCTGTTAAGGATCATTATATAATAATACAACGTCGGATGTTTATAATGAAACTTTGCAACTCGTTCATGGTCTTAATCTTATCCTAAAATATATAGCCTTGCAAAAAGTGGTTTAATTATAAAAATTACAGTTTGGACTGATCGATAAGTGTGCTTATGACTTATAGCATGTATAATATCAATTGGAACGGACATTAATTGATTAGTTTTAATAAAATGCGTAATCTTTATTATTTTCATGTAAACAGTTGAAGATTTGATCGTCGCCATTTTAAATGTTGTTAAGCCTCCATTCTTATCAATTAAGGATTTTCTATACATCTAGAAATTTGTGCAACTTGTCTTAAGACAAAAATGACACATTCAGTTTTTCTAACATTTGTAGTTATAACAGGATGAAAAGAAAGTAATAAATTACAGTTTACGAAACTAAAAGTCAACCCGCATTCCTCGGTGTGTCAAATATCACGTTTATTAACCCGCAGTACGAGTTTGTAATCTGTAATGACCAACAGGATATAACCGAGTTTACGCAAAACACAGAAACGAATTGTATTAAAAAAGCAGTACATTATTTTTGTAAAAAGTGCGATCATAATTAACCAGTGAATTTGAAATATCGGATTTGATTTACGCTTCACAATAATATGTTAATTAGCCAGATGCATGCAACTGCGCATAAACTAAACTTAAGTGATAAATTATGTTTATTTGTGCAATGACAGTTAAATATGAAGTGATAAATAGTAGTGATAAGTTAGATTATATCTATAAAAAGTATTTAAAAAATAATAATAAGTTAATGCAACTGCCAGGGTATGATTAAAATCTTTGACGGGAGATTTATTCAGGTATTGTCATACCTTATATAAAAATAAAAATAAAAAGTGGATATAATAATTTTTCTTTGCTTTAATCATTGATTTAAACTTATCTTAAATATAATTCAGGTTGGTATCAATGATGGTATAATAACCAAGTTCAATTTTATAATCTTACAATTAGAAATTTCTTAACGTCAGTTGGCAAAAAATAACTTATTTTTACTTTATATTTACTTAGAAGTTTATATTTTGCCAGAAAATTTGTTTGGCTAATTTTATGTTTTCTCGACGTTTCAAGTCATTCTGAATAATTAGGGACCAAATTTAGAAAAATTATTTGTGTGTATGTGAGCCAAAATTTGTTGTCATTTTTTTCAAAATGGCTGCACCGTTTACGTAAATTTAAAAGCCATTTTGACAAAACTTGAGAATTATCGTTGATTTTCGAGTCGTTTGTAGAAAAGTGTATAATTTTTCATCAACGATATCGCAAAAATCGTGAACCCATTTTGAAATTATCAACACCCTTCGAAAGATCAGTTGGGAATCGTGCTAAAGGTAAAGATCGGCGTTGCCGTTGCTTCTTTATACTTATTTCTTTATTCTTATTTATCTATGGTTGCTTTGCAGTTAACCGATTAATTATTTGTTAATTTTTTGTAGCGTATTTAATAAATCTTGGTCATTTTCCTAACTAAAATCCTAAAATATTACAGCCTGCGATAAGTTCAGAATAAATTATTTGGGCGCTTAAAATCTATGCCGCGCATATTTCGCGCTAAAAATTTTGGATGTGATTCCGCTGTGTGTGTTATGTTCCCGTGATTATCGTTTACGTTCGGATTGAAATAAAATAAGTAGAATAAAACGTATTCAATATATGAAATTGAATTAATACTGTTACAGATATTATAATTTTGTTTGCTTCTGCTTAATAAAGTATTGCGTTGAACAGTTTTTAGCAATTAGATACTGGGCTGAAACTTCTTCTTTTGACGTATTTAAAATGTAAACCCAACAACGGATCTATCCATGTTAGATTATTTTATTATTAGAATTTATCTAATAGGGCTGAAATAGATAATCAAATAATTTGATTTGATATAATTAGCAATATGTTTACAAGCTGCAAAATAAGAAACAAACTAATAACTAGTGGTGCTTTAAGGCAAATTGCTGGTACTACTTTCCGTACCTTAATTTAATTTTTTTTTTACTTTGAAAAAAAACAGATTTTTAAGAATCTGGATTTTTTTTAAATATCGACTTTTTGGAAAACTTTGAGTTTGAAACCTATTGAAGTCAGTCAAAAACATTTGTTTAAACTATATAATAAGTAAACTTTAACAATTAAAAAGCTTGGTACGGAACCCAAAAAATGAAAATTTGTGCTTATTATTAAAATTTCTATAAAATATCTGATAATTAATTGTAATGATAATGATAATTAATACAGTTACAGATATTATAATTAACTTCCCGGTGGGCATAGATGAACAAGTATAAATCAAAATCAAAATAATCAAACATGAAAAATGTATCTTTACGTTTCAGGGGTTTCTGAACATTTTGGTATACCTTAGAAAAAATAGATGTGTGTATGTGCGATCGGATACAAATTTTCTTCGACGATTTAAATGATTAAAAAACATACGATTCCTATTAATAGAAGCGTTTCGGAGATACGGGGCAAAAAGTTCCAAAAATGGTAATTCAGTTTTTGAGAGAACGGAGCGTTTTATTTCAATAATTCAATAAACATTTTACTTGTATTGACAAAATTAAGAATTGACTAATTTTTTGGGAATGCAAGTCTATCGGTTTCGGAGATCGAGTAAAAAAGTAAAAAGAAAGCCATTTGGGGGTCAAAAATAATCATTAGACATATGCACATCAAATTATCAGATATTTAATAGAGATTTTATTATTTAAATTAAATTTTAAAAAAAATTGTTATTTATTATTTGTTTTGTAAAATTTTGTTCACATTTTTATGGGTTCCGTACCAATGTTTATACGTAAGACCGCGGCGCGGCGCTTACGCGCTTGGATATTTCTTGTCTAGAACAGGTACGCAGCACGATTGCTTTGAAAAAAGTTAAACATTTTCAAAACATTTTAACATATAAATTTTTTTTTTAAATCAGAATGTTCAAGTCGTTATTTTCAAAATTTTAAAAAATATCATTTCGTCAGTTTTCAAAAGAATTAAGGCTTTTTTAAAAAAAAAATTTTGATACGGGGAGTTCTAGCAATTTGCCGTAAGGCGCAATGCACCACTAGTTAACTTCCCGTAGGGTAAGTTATAGTAATCGCAAAAAATCGAAAATGAAAATTTTTATATATCTTTACGTTTCAGAGGTTTCTGAACATTTTGGCATACCTTAGAAAAAATGGATGTATGTGTGTGTGTGCGGATTTTTCGTCGACGATTTCGGGAACACGGTTCAACCGATTTCGATTATTCAAAAAACATTCGATTGCTGATAAGGAGACGTGCTGATTAGTTTTTGGAATAAGCAGGTCTAGCCGTTCCGAAGATACGGGGCAAAAAGTGCCACAAACGGTAACTCAGTTTTTAAGAGAACGGAGCGTCCGATTTTAATAATTCAAAAAAATTTTACTTGTATTAACAAGACGAAGTACTGATCAAATTTTCATGAAGGCAGGTCTAGCGGTTTCGGAGATCTAGTAATAAAAATAAAAAAAAAGCCATTTGGCGGTCGAAAATGATCATTAGTCATATGCACATCACATTATCAGATATTTTATAGAGATTTTAACAATAAGTATAAATTTTGTTTACATTCCTATGGGTTCCGTACCAATGTTTATCCGTTAGACGGCGACGCGGCCCTTCGATATTTCGTCTCAATGTAGTTAAAGCAGTACGATTGCTTTGAAAAAAGTTCAGAATTTCCAAAATATATTTCAAAATAAATTTTTCTTCAAAAAGTCTTTTTTTTCAAAAAAAGGAAATTTTTGTCAACAATTTATAGTTTCTCAAAAATCTAATTTTTTAGAGTAATTTTTTTTTTCAAAAATGTTAATCTTTAAAAAAAAAAAATTTTGCTACGGGAAGTTCCAGCAATTTGCCTTAAGGCACGATGCCATGCGCCCCACTAGTTAGTGAAACAGTTGAAAATTGTATCTAAATATCTAAATCTCATATCTTGTTGATTAGATCGGTATCGGTAAGTTAATGCAACTTACTTCAAGGCAAAATGCCACTTACAACTAGTCAACATTTTCAATATTTCAATATTATCCTCATGACTAGTTTTGTTTTGTTATTTAATTCTGTTCTGGCTAGAGGGCAGAAGACATTATAATTGGCTTGATTTCCCCACTGATCCCCACCGTTTTAAAGTTCAGCGCACGGAGAGAGTAATCGAGAATCGAGTGGTACAGTGGTACAGACGTCGAATTAAAAGGCAACATTGCCTTTGCTGCGTCTGAACGGACCGAATAACCGCACTAGATCATTCCAATCTGCGGTAGTGAATTTGGTGTTAATTATTTATGAATATATTTGAATCCGTATATTTTTCCGTTAAAAATGTATCGAATGTGAACTATTCAGTGCGTTTAGGTTTTATACAAATTTTGCAGAGAGCATTTTAACCATTGGATTTAAAGTTGTGATTTGAAGCTGACTAGGACTAGATTAGTGTATGAGGATTAATTTGTGACTGTGATTACGGGTGACTGGGGTTGTCAGGTAATTTTAAAAAATAATTGCAATATATATATATATATATATATATATATATATATATATATCGAACATAGAATCCAAAAAGTAATAAAAAAAATTATTTAAAAAAGTCCTTTTTTATTTATTTACTGTCGACGTTTCGGAACTAGGCACGTTCCATCTTTAGGACATATGTCAAGAAACATGATCTTGATAAGATTTAAACAAACAATATATTTAAGAAAAATAGATAATTGTGGATTTCTATATAATCGTTATAAAGTGTTTTTTATTACTTTTTGGATTATTTGTTTGAAGTTCTACAAAATATTTACAGAAAATGATGATGGAACGCAACTAGTTCCGAAACGTCGTAAATAAATAAAAAATACATTTTAAAAAAACTTATTTGTTTTTATAGGATTTCCTACAACAGCAAACACACACACAAATAATAATCAGTTTTTTGTAGATGTTTAATATCAACGTTTCGGAACTAGGTATGTTCCATTATTAGGTTTTTCTGCAATATTGACCTATATATTCACATCACTCTTTTTTCGTCAAAATCACTTGTAAAAAATTATTTAAAAATATTTGAAAATTTTGACTTCTCTTTACTTGTAATCCCATTTACCATTATAATCATTTATGAAGTGAAAATTTTTGAAAAATTCTTAAACAAGTTTTTTTACAAGTGCTTTTGACAAAAAAAGAGTGGTGTAGATTTATAGATAAGTGTTGCAAAAAAAACTCATTTTGCAACATATCTTCCGAACCATTAACAAAAAACTAATTGTTTTTTTATTTATTGGATTAATTGGTTGGAAAAGAATCATATCCATATATATATTAGACTCTGTCAATATCAAAACAAAAAATTCAAAATTATACGAGATAAGCTTATGTGTGTTTTATGTAAATACGTTTAAAAATAACGATAACAATTTATATTATCACTAAATTTTTTGACAACTATTACAAGCATTTATATTTTATTAATTTTTAGAGAAAAACTCATTTAATTTTTGCATTACATAAAAAAAAAATAAAAAACTTACCAATGGGTAGTTTTCTAAGAACATTATAGCTTTTTCAAGTTTCAGATTTCAGATTAATTACTGAATATCTTTTAATTATAAAACAGATTGTAATTTGTATATGAATAAAAAATAAATAAAAAAACATAAATAAATATAGAAAAATAAATGGCGGCGGCCTTAACGGACTTTTTGAAGAAATTGGGGTAAACTTACCTTATTCACTATCAAATATTTATAATAATAAATAGCAGTCTGCCCAAAGGCAGGTCCATGTTGTAAGAGCTACCACAAATCAATGATTCACTTTCCCTTGTTTATCATTTTCATTACCATTAAACTCCTTTTAATGCACTTTTATGTATTTTTCTCTACAAACTTCTGCTTCTATTTTTCCTGATCCTGTACTTCGGCATTCAGTTCTCTTAATTTATTATTTATAATTTATTTAATATATTCATCATTTAAGTCCTTCTATTTTGCCCTCGACGACGTCGTGCAAGAGGCACTCTTTTTGCAGAATGGGTCCAATCCAGTTTCCTTTTCTTTTTCCTTCCCCCGCTCTTCTCAGTACTCTCTCTTGCTGTCTGTCTCTCTCTATCTTTTTGTTTCAAAAAATATTTTACAGCGACTAATTTCATATCCAGTAACAAGTAAAAACCCGTTTTATCTTTTTCTATTTTTCCCATTTAACACACTCTCAACACTGTAAAAAACTGCATCACTGGATGTAGTTCTTAAATTTGTTTTTTTTTTTAATTTGAATATATGCCTGATGCAGATAGATGATCAAGCAAATAAATAATTAGAAAAGTTCGATTAAAATAACATTTCAAATATGTTTAACTAATACAAAGTATAACTAATTAAATTATCACATACAATGACATATAAATAAAAGACTTTTTTTATCTTTCATAAATTGGCGCAATTTATCGCAAGGGCTAGTTTTCATACCGCGCGGTCAAGTTTTATTACTTTGGACAATTTAAGTTCTGTTTAAACATTTAATTTTCAGAGTATTGTGTGATTATGAGAATCCTTGTATTTAATTACGCAATGATCCTAGCAATCCTTATAAATAAAACCACTCGATTTATTTTATCTGCTATGGAGCATCAGCAAATTTAAGGCAAATTACTGGAATTTTCCCTGAATTTGTTAAAAGCTTTGAATCTTTTGATAAGTTTGAAAAAATTTGATATTTTTTTTAGGATTTTAACAATTCTTGAAAAGTCGATTTTTTTAAAGGTTTGAAAAATATGAAATTTTTTGTAAATTTCATGAAAATGTTGAAACCCATCTTAGTCGGTTGATCCAAACTGTCGAAAATGTCTAGGACATTTGTTCGATCTATAGAAGTGAACTTTAATCATTAATAAATCTTGGTACGAACTCATAGAAATGCAAACAAAATTTATATTTATTATTAGGAAATCTGTAAAATCTCTAATAATTTTATTCTTTTTTTTTTTGAATCTTTGAAGCTACTGGACTTGTTTCCAAAAATGTAACCAATTCTTATATCAAACTAGTGGGCCGCATAGCATCGTGCCTTAAGGCAAATTGCTTGAACTTCCCGTACCAAAAATTATTTTTTTTTAAAAAGACTGAAAAATTAGATTTTTGAGAAACTATAAATTTTTGACAAAATTTACTTTTTTTGAAAAAAAGACTTTTTGAAGAAAAGTGTATTTGAAATATTTTGGAAATTCTGAACTTTTTTTCAAAGCAATCGTACTGCTTTAACTGCATAGAGACGAAATATCGAAGCGCGTAAGCGCCGCGCCGTCGTCTAACGGATAAGCATTGGTACGCAACCCATAGGAATGTAAACAAAATTTATACTTATTGTTAAAAGCTCTGTCAAATATATGATAATTTGATGTGCATATGTCTAATGATCATTTTTGACCGCCAGATGGCATTTTTTTTTACTTTTTTTACTAGATCTCTGAAACCGCTAGACCTGCCTTTATGAAAATTTGATCAATTCTTCATCTTGTCAATACAAGTAAAATGTTTTTTGAATTATTCAAATCGCTTCATCCGTGTTAGCGAAATCGTCGACGAAAATTTGTATCCGCACACACATACATACACGCACACACACATACACTCACACATACATCCATTTTTTCTAAGGTATGCCAAAATATTCAGAAACCTCTGAAACGTAAAGATATATAAAAAATTTTTTGCGATTACTATAACTTACCCTACGGGAAGTTAACAAGTGTTATGTTTTATGAATCATTCAAATGATGCTCTATTCTCTCAAAATTGCCATTATTGGCCTTTGTCAAAAACTAATCAGCGCGTCTACCCATCAATAGCAATTAAATGTTCTTTGAATCATTCAAATCGGTTGATCCGTGCTCTCGAAATTATGGACGAAAATTGTATCCATACATACATAAACACACACATTAATTCTTTCTAAGGTATGCCAAAATGTTCAGAAACCTTCAAAATGTGAAGATATGCAAACATTTTCATTTTCGATTCTATGCGATTACTATAACTTACTCTACGAGAAGCTAATTTACAAATATAATATTTTGGTATTACAATTTTATTTTTATAATGTAGTTGATATTTGCAGTAACACTTTTTTCGCGGGAAATAACTACAAAACGAAAGTTCTCGTTTTCATGATGCTGATCTAAAGTGCACTTGCATCACATTCAATAGGTCTTATTCGTGATAAATCCTTAGCGAAGCTCCACTGAAAAATAGAGCTCGGGTTTCTGTTTCCATATCTGATATATCACTTTACATTAAACATTAAATGTCATGTTATTAGTGGGACTTTTGTTATAGTGTCATGTATCAAAAAATTGATAAGCAAATTATAAATGACCCTTGACCTAAAAACAGTAGATTACAGATACAATATATGTTCTACCCGGAGGCGGGATGAAATCATTCTATTTTCATTTTTTTAAATTCTATCATTTAGTTCTTTATATATTTTTCTTTGTCTTTTATTTACTCCTTTCTCTGAAATAATATATTGTTGCACAAGATACTTTCTACTGACGTAACATAAATTTTTGAAATAATAAATATTTTACGATATATGAATCGTGAGTACAGTGTTCTTGTGAGCATCCGATTTGTGATTTATTTTCTAGCTCATTAACTTCACATTCTCTAATATTATCAGAATGCATAGTTTGCATTACGATACAACCAACTTTGATTTTTTCAAATGTTATCGCATTTAGTTTATATTACGAAACTATAATTAAAATATCAAATCAAGATATTTATCGAGATGATTGATTTTTTTATTATGTGTTACCAGAGCAGCGTAATAAAAAATCGTTATATAGCACATGATTTAATATGAAGTATTTGATTAAAATAAATAAATATAAAATAAGTCTCTATTTATTTACAGTAAGCCTGACCTTTTATCGACGGTTTCTCAAAAGAGGCTGTACCGATTTTAAAAATTTAAAAGTCTTTTGATAGAACTCGATAAGGACTTGTGTTGATCAGTTTTGGGTGCTTACGAAGGCACATTATTATATATTATTATTATTTATTTATTTCAGCCTAACGGCCTAGAAATACATCAATATCTTAAGCCACAATAATACCTTAAACCTACTTTATATACAAATAAAAATAAAAAGAAAAACCTAATCAGGGACACATTATTATATAATTAATACATATCAGGAAATTCAGGCAACTTACACCTAGTTTGATCTGTGTAATGTCTCTATTTGTAGCGTTAACAAAAATGGATTTTAATTAATGTTAATCAAAATAATAGATTTTTTTTATTATGAGTTTTAAGAGTAGTGCAATAAAAATTGTTACAAAGCACATCATAATCTAATATCAAGCATTTTCAGAGTATAATCATGTAAAATATTTTATAATATAATATTAAAATTAAATATTAGTCTTGGAAAAAAAATCAACTTTGAAATAATTTTTTTTTCCAAAAGCAATTGTTTTGTCAACAAAAGCAGAAAGTTTTTTGAATCATTCAAATCGGATGCTTAGTTCTCTTAAAAACTGCTATTTTTTGCATATTTAGCTATGTATCTCTAAAATATCTGGACATGCCTTTGCCAAATCACCATTTTTCCCAATCATTACAAATTGATTTTTCCATTTGTCCATTTCATTCATCTATTTTTTTGAGGTATGCCAACATGTTCAGAAACCCCTGAAACGTGAAGATATACAAAAACTTTCATTTTCGATTTTTGGCGCATTACTATAACTTACCCTACGAGAAGTTAAAACTAGTGGGGCGCATGGCATTGTGCCTTAAGGCAAATTGCTGGAACTTCCCGTACCAAAAAATATTTTTATTTAAAAAGATTAACATTTAAAAAAAAAATTACTTTGGAAAAATTAAATTTTGAGAAACTATAATTTTTTTACAAAAATTTACTTTTTTTGGAAAAAAATGTTTTTTTTTTAATTTGAAATATTTTGGAAATTCTGAACTTTTTGTCAAAGCAATCGTACTCCTTTAACTGCATAGAGACAAAATATCGAAGCGCGTAAGCGCCGCGTTCCCGCCTATTTTATAAACATTTGTACGGAACCCATAGGAATGTAAATAAAATTTATACTTATTGTTAAAATCTCTATAAAATATCTGACAATTTGATGTGCATTGATCTGTCTAATGTGTCTAATGATCATTTTTGACCGCCAAATGGCATTTTTTTTTACTTTTTTCACTAGTACTCCGAAACCGCTAGACCTGCCTTCATGAAAGTTTGATCAGTTGTTCATATTGTCAAGACAAGTAAATTTGTTTTTAATTATTAAAATCGGACGCTTGGTTCTCTTAAAAACTGAGTAACCGTTTGTGGCTCTTTTATTATTAATATATAAATTATATAATATTATGTTTTAAATACGGTATAACGACCGAGCAATTCGTAAAGCAAAATTTTCATAAAAAAGAGAGAAATATGTAAAAAAATATATTAGAATTTTGAATGGAATGAAAGTGATAAATGATAAAAAAAACAGCGACGACGCTAAGTAATTATAACGACTTATTATAACGACAATTATATTAGATAAATGTAAATATATGTTCTTCAACGTCCACAATTTCATTTTAAACAAATGGTTACACTATTGTGTTAAATTCACAGCAGAAACGTATTTGCCGGATTGCGGCGTCGAGTAGCTTGTAGGGTTAATTTCAATTGTTTGTATTTTTTTTTTTTTAAGTGTTTTTTTATTTATTGGCCTTGCTTACTTACATGACTCTAATGTAAGTAAGCAAGGCCAATAAATAAAAAAACACTTTAAAAAAAAATTACAAACAATTGAAATTAACCTTACAAGCTCTAATGATTAGAGCATTTAGCCACCTACAATTTTTTTTTATATTCTATACTATTTCCATATATCTTCCTATATTCTACATTATCTTGCTTATACATTCTACACTATCTGTTATTTATATCTTATTCTATCTAATTTTTAGGCTCTTCACAACTCATTTCTTCATTATTCTTTTTTTCCTTTTCTTATAAATCTGATTTTCTCGAATTCTAATCTTAGTTTTTTCTTCTTACTTCTATTTTTTTATTCAAGTTCAACTCAACTTAATTCTGATCTTCTTCAATTCTAACATTATCTTATTATATTTAATTTCAAACTGGCTATTTTTAAATTCTACTTATTCTATGCAATTTTAAATTAACAACTTAATTTCTAAGCAACTTTTCATATATTTTTTATGTTATTGCCAAGAATCGATCCAAGGACCTTTGGACGGGGGACGCTCCTGATGAGTAGATAGATAACACAGGCCTACAATTTTTTTTTTGTTTGGTGCATCAAATGTTAGAGCTGATTCTTATAGTATTGTTTGCGCTGATTTCAAATCTGCAAACCATTTTTTTGTATCAGCTTTAGTTTGAAACTTGGAAAGAAGTTGCCGAAACCAGGTCCATTCCAGGTCGTCACGGAAAAGAACTTTTCAAAGTGTCAACTAATGTCCCAACTAAGGCCGAATGGGTCTTGTAAGTTTGTATGTACGAGTAGGCATATCTCATTCAAATAACATTTTGAATTGTATGTATTTATGTACTATTTTGTACTTTCATTCCTTATATATCATATATATCATATCTTGAAAACTAAAGCTTAAAGGAAAAAACCAATGTCATTTTTTGAAATCAGCGCCCCAAATATACTTAAAAACAGCATTAAGGGGGTTGTTCTTTTTTTTTGTTACAAAAAATGCAAGGTATTTGTTTTTGTTTTTCTCGAAATGTATTGATCATAGAGACATGCGGTTTTTTTTAAACAAAAATTACAAAATTATAGAATATTAAGAAATTTTATATTTTTTTTGTCGCCGTCATTTGTTACCCAGGGGGCGCCAAAGTGGGCATTGCAAAATCGATCTCTTTTGCGGTGCCACAGATAAATCCGTTGCGCATCGCCTGAAACAAAAAAAAAACGAAACTACGTTGAAGAAGAAGTTTGAATCCAGTCTCCCTACCAAAGTGTTAAAAAGGGCCTTTTTTGGGACGAGAAGCTTTGCAAAATTTTTTCGCGTAATGTTATCTAGTTGTTTGAGGTAGGGGGACTAGGTATTGCAGTGGTGAACAAATTAAAAAAAATGCAAGTCGATCCGACTTGTAGTTTTTTTTTAATTTGTGGCACCGCATTGAAAAAAGTCAATTTGAGAAAAACGTATTTAAAGTTTTTAATATAATGTACTAAATACACCATTTAATTTAATGTACTAATACACCATGGTGTTCAAAGGTGCTGACACATTAAAAAGGTCATGTGCATGACGTATTATAATGAAAAAGAGAGCAGCTGGCATACAATAGCTCGCGGAGCGATGAAAAAAACGGTTTCAGAGGATCATACATATAGAAATATATATATATATATCTATAACTTCGTCAAAAAATAGATATTCAGATGATTTTTTTTAAATAATTCTAAGGTTTTTAGCTTTCATAATATCAAAATATCTCAAAATCGAAAAAAATAAATAAAAAAAGAACAACCCCCTTAAAATCGTTTGCACCATTTTCTTTGTTGGCCTGTGTAATTATTACGAATTACTTTATTTTTACGATTTTTGAAAAATTTCTGAGAAATCTTTACCATTCTGAAGGGCCCCCAAACAAATGTTTATACAAATCCCCGCCAAGTCACGCTACTCTTCTGTTTACATCGTACTATGCATTCCTCTTGTTTCATTCGTAACCTTTACGCAAGACAAACTTGTTTCATCATTTTGCGTTCTGTATCATCGCTCATCGGCCACCTTTACATTAATTAAATTAACTCATCAATGCACATGCGAGTGCGGCTCCTAAATGCGAGATTATCTAACCGATGACAAATCAACAATTTGTACATGAATTAACTTTATTTTTCTATTGCAATTCCAGTCGATGGCCATGTGGTGTGCATTTATAGCCGTTTTAGTGGGAGTGCTGGCCCCGTGTCTGTCCTTAGAGAATGGATTAGCCTCTACTCCTCCCATGGGTTGGTTATCGTGGCAAAGATTCAGATGCAACACCGACTGCACCGGCGATCCTGAGAATTGTATCAGGTTAGTTATATAAGATATGAGATATCAAATGAGTGTGGCGGACATAGCTCAGAGGTAGCATGTCCGACTCACATGCCGGAGATCGTTGGTTCGATCCCTGGCGCTTCCAAATATAAAATATCAAAAATGTATAAGAATTTCAATTGTAAGATGTATGTAAAAAAAATGGTTAATGTATTAGAATGTATAGAAATTGAATTAGAATTGAAAAAAAAAAAAAAAATGAAATAGTAAAAAGAAGTAAAGAAGATAAAAAGGGAAGAATGAAGATAAGTTGAACTGTGAAGAAGAATAGGGTTTAAGTGAAGAAGATAAGTTGAAAGAAAGTATGTAATATAAGAAGATAGAATCTAAATTGAATATGATATAAAAATATTAGTGTAGAATGTAAATAAATGTCGTAGGTGGCTAAATGCTCAGAGTAAGCGAAGCCAAATAAAAATTTAAAAAAAAAAAAAAAAAAAAAAAAAAATCAAATGAGTAACGATAGTCATATTATCTGCGGTTGTGGTAATGGTAAGTTGACCATATTTCAAATCCGGGAGAAAAATTTGTAGCTTTAGATAACAATTAGGGAAACAGTCAATAATTGTGAGCTTGTATATGAAAGCGAAAAACAAAAAAATCTTTGAAAACCATTTTTTGCTATTAATGTAAGATGTAACTTTCAGGTCACAGGGGCCTATAAAGTTTGCGCTTTTGTGTATGAAAATGTGATTTCAGGTTAAAAAGCCTAACAAAGGTTTTAAATATTGATATTAGGTTGTCTTGACAACCTCCTAGAATTAATCGTCATCTCCATAGACCTTGTACTACAGTCTTAGACCTTATACTGTAGTTTAAGGATATGGTCATCTCACAAAAAATCCATAATTATTTGGTAAAACATCGAAAAAAATAAAATGATACTTAAAAATTGCGCGGGCCCATAGAAAGGCTTAAATGCGATTTTTTAACTTCCCGTAGGGTAAGTTATAGTAATCGCAAGAAAATCTAAAATGAAAATTTTTATATATCTTTACGTTTCAAAGGTTTCTGAATATTTTGGCATACCTTAAAAAAATGTATGTATGTGTGTGTGTGTGCGGATACAAATTTTCGTCGACGATTTCGGGAACACCAATCAACCGATATGAATAATTCAAAAAACATTCAATTTGTATTGATAAGGAGACGTGCTGATTAGTTTTTGGCGAAGGCAGGTCTTGTCGATCCGAATATACGGGGCAAAAAGTGCCAAAAATGGTAACTCAGTTTTTAAGAGAACGGAGCATCCGATTTTAATAATTCAAAAAACATTTTACTTGTATTGACAAGATGAAATATTGGTCAAATTTTCATGAAGGCAGATCTAGCGGTTTCGGAGATCCAATGAAAAAAGTAAAAAAAAAAACATTTGGCGGTCAAAAATGATCATTAGACATATGCTCATCAAATTATCAGATATTTTATAGAGATTTGAACAATAAGTATAAATTTTGTTTACATTCCTATGGGTTTCGTACCAATGTTTATCCGTTAGACGGCGACGCGGCGCTTACGCGCTTTGACTTTTCGTCTCTATGCAGTTCAAGCAGTACGATTGCTTTGAAAAAAAGTTCAGAATTTCCAAAATATGTCGAAATAAAGAAATTTTTTTTTCAAAAAAGTAATTTTTTGTCAAATTTATAGTTTCTCAAAAATCTAATTTTTTCTAAATAATTTTTTTTCAAAAATGTTAATCGTTTTTAAAAAAATAATAATTTTTGATACTGGAAGTTCCTGCAATTTGCCTTAAGGCACGATGCCATGCGCCCCACTAGTTAGTTAATTATTTAACAGACAAATGTTATGGCAAGGCCGTGTTACGCTCCAATTCCATACATTATGCTACTAAATAATACTGAATACTGTCAAAATGCCATGTATTTTCTGTGCAATCAGGCGTTTTACACATAAACTGTAACGTCACTCGTATGTTATGAGGCTGGGTCAGAAAGACCATGTTATCTGAGATCGTTTTTTTGACTTTTGCGCGGTTTCTAGGTTCGGTTTTCTATCTGACAACCTGAGAAAAACGCCTGACTGCACCGAAACCACATGGCTTTTGACAATATTCAGAACGATTTTGTATGAAAGTTCTACGGCAGAATCGGTCCCTTAGTTAGAAAAACATTAAGAAAATGAGTTTTTTTTAAATAAATATTTTTTTCAATATAAATTACAATATAGACACTACCGTTTAAAATAAAATGGAAAAACAATTTTAAAATATGCAATTATAATAAAAGTTGAGGTCTATAAAAATCCATACCTGTATTTTAAAATTACTAATACAGTTTTCTTTTTAATTGGTATTAATTATTTTCTAGTGCTCAATATCGCTTCTAGTTCAAGCTATTTCAAGTCGCATATGTCTATATGCATCATTTCTTAAAATATTTTTTTTTCTAAAAATAATTCTAGTTAAAATATATTCAAAATAAATATTGAAAATAAGAACATGTTCAAAAATCTGGAACACAAAGTGAAAACCAGGGAGTGTCCCGACCAATTCGGGACGTATATGATCACTTTAGATAATAGTGTATTGTTAAATGAAAGAACGTCTTTGTTTTTAATATGTGGCTCATAAATATATGATTTACTTCAATGATTTCTAATTTAAGAAATATTTGTAATCGATACATAAAATGGATCCATATTCAATATCAGGTTCGAGTAATCGTTGACAATGATCTTAAACAATGAGCAACAATTGTTTAAATTGTATTTAAACAACTTTTGTTTAAATACACGTTAACACAGTGGTTTCCAACTTTTTCGACCTGCGTCCCTGCCCCCGTTTTTTGCTTTTTTTTAATTTTTCTAACAATCTAATTTCATGAATACTTAACTGATATTATAAAGTTATTTAGCGTGCTACAAAATAATATACATTATTATGTAATGATGTACACAAAAAACAATACTTTGTTTATTTTTTTATACCAATTTGACTAGGTTTATTGGATTTGACTGGTTTATTCTCCCGAAGTATGCGCGGTTCAAAGGTTGGAAATCACTGGTTTAAGTTGTATTGTACTATGAAATGTTTAATATTTGCATATGATTAATGTGACCAATATTTGTTTTTAATTTATACAGCAAAAAGCCTATCTGTCAGAATGTTATGATCTATTATCCTAAGCATATCCGGATTGTGTAAACTTTGCTTGTGGCATTTATTTGTTGAAGCGAAAGAAACGTATTTGAAATTTATTTGAAAAATATTTTAGATAAAGAAATTAATGTGAGAAATGGTCTTATAAATTACAAAATATTTCTTGCTTTTTATAATGGAAAATATTGCGGGATTAAGATTTAAAAACGTTCTATATATTCATAACGAGAAATATTGAAGTTGGTTATTTAAAAATATGACATGTTAATTAAATAGGTTTTGAAAATAATTTAAATTTCACTGAAATGTGAGTTTTTACATTATGTAGATTGCATGCTTAAGAGCTATCTTACAAACTAATGAACGTGTAATAATTTTAATTACACTAATTTAAGACTAATGCTAATTTTAGTTAATTAATTTATTTTTTTAGTCATCAGTATAATGATAGCGCTATAATAAGGCTCATGTCGCTATCTTAACAATTATTTTATATAATAACTAGTTTTTTTTATTTTGAGTAACAAAATTAGTATGTTATATAATACAAATCAGTTAACTAACAGATATTAATTTTGATAAAGTTGCTCTCATAATTTGAAATATGTATTCATTTATTTAATTAATTAACGCCAAATGGCTGTTGACTATTTTGAGCAAATGTGTTGTATCACGTTCACGTATAAAAAAATAACAAACTAATGAACAAGTAATAATTTCCAAAGTACCAAGAAATCCGACTTTCTAACTTTACTTTGACTTCAAATTCGGAAGAAGTATATGTATTTGAGCCAAAATTTGCCCTCTTAAGCTCATGATTCTCAAGTAAAGATATTACTTAGGAATCGTGCTGATTACTTTTTGGTACAAATCGGACGGGCTATTTTTTCGTAAGTAATTATTAAAAAAATTTTGAACAATCTGATGAAACTTTTAGATTAATATACTAAAATATTATAGGCCTATGATAAATGATTGAATCATCAAAGTTAATCAAAATTCGGAATAATAAGCCCTGCCTTTAGAATCTACTCCGTGTGTATTCCATTTAGTGTTTCGTACTGATTACCGTTGTTTTTTTCATAAAAATAAAATACATTTTTAAAATAAGTAAATTAATTTATATTTATACAATTGCATTTGTCATATATTTGTTTGCATTCAAAATGTTAATAGCATATCGCATTGATTAGTCTTTAGTGAAAGGAATATTTTATTTTTGAAATAAACTAGTGATGCATGGCATCGTGTCTTAAGACAAATTGCGCAATTTTTTTAGATATGCCAAAATGTTCAGGAGGTCATGAAACATAAAGATAAGCAAAAATTTTCATGTTCGATTTTTTAACTTCCCGTGGGGTAAGTTATAGTAATCGCAAAAAAATCGAAAACAAATATTTTTATATATTTTTACCTTTCAGAGGTTTCTGAACATTTTGGCATACCTTAGAGAAAACGGATATATGTGTGTGTGTTCGGATACAAATTTTCGTCGACGATTTCGGTAGCACGGTTCAACCGATTTAAATGATTCAAAAAACATTTGATTTCTAGTGATGAGATTTTCTGATTAGTTTTTAGTAAAGGCAGGTCTAGCCGTTGTGGATATACGGGGCAAAAAATGCCAAAAACGGTAACTTAGTTTTTAAGAGAACGGAGCGTCCGATTTAAATAATTCAAAAATAAATTACTTGTATTGACAAGATGAAGAACTGATGACTAAAGGGAGATCTAGCAGTTTCGGAGATCTAGTAAGAAAAGTAAAAGAAAATGCCATTTGGCGGTCAAAAATGATCATTAGACATATGCTCATCAAATTATCAGATATTTTATGGAGAATTTAATAACACGTATAAATTTTGTTCATATTTCTACTAGTGATTTCCATTAGTTAGAGTGCGACGCGGCGCTTATGCGCTTCGATATTTCGTCTCTATGAAGTTAAAACAACGCGATTGCTTAGAAAATATTTCAAAATTTCTTTTAGGCTGTTTTTCAAAAAAGACTATTTTTTCAAATATTTAAAATTTCTCAAACATCTAATTTTTTCAAGGTTAAAAAAAATCTTTTTTAAAAAATTAAATTTTTAGTACGGCAAGTTCTAGCAATTTGCCTTAAAGCACGATGCCATACACCACTAGTTTGCGAATAATTACGGGAAGTTAATAACTGAATATTTTTGAAAGCTAAAACTCTATTCTTATTGATTAAGTGAGTCGATTATTTACACGTATCGAAAAGTTTATGCAACTTGTCTTAAAGACAGGTGCCTCTTGCAACTGGTTGTGAATAATTAATTATAAATTTGAGAACAATAGTGTATTGTCATTAAAATTTGTTTTTGACTAAATCAATGTTTATTTTGCAGAGATCTTAATCGAACAGGTTCCATTCGATATTGTCGATATTTTTTTGATCGTCTAGACCAGAATGTGTACCGGCGTACCGTGTGAACAGCGTGACTCTCTTTGTCCTGTCCATATACCATAGATAGACCATAGAATAGACCATAGACCATAGGTTCCCAAACTTGTTTGTGCCGTGGACCCCTTGCGATGTTTTTTATAAATAATAAATCAACCCACAAAAATGCTTTGAATTCATGGTTGAACTATTCCTCCAACCATCCTAAAATGGTGTGTTTTCAAAAATGCATAATTCGATTTTGATGAAACTTGACACACATTGTTACTATACTTTACTAAATACTTGACTTGAATTTAAAGTTGTAACATTCAATAGTTTTTCAGATATGCGAGGTTGATGGGTGGCTAGCTGGCTCCGCTCTCAATACTGGTATTGAAACAGATTGTATATTTACAAAAATGCATAATTCGATTTTGATGAAACTTGACATACATTGTTACTACACTTTACTAAACTTTTGACAAAAAATTAAAGTAGGAACATTCAATAGTTTCTGAGAAATGCGAGGTTGATGGGTGGCTCGCTGCGCTCTCAATACTGGTATTGAAACAGATTGTACGTTTTCAAAAATGCATGTTGCGATTTTGATGAAACTTAACACACATTGTTACTATACTTACACCATTCATATGTAATGTTTTTCTTTACTTTTTGGTTCATTTCTAAATATGCCGTGGACCCCTATTTTTATTTCATAGACCCCCAAATTTTGTTTTCCCCGCCATGGACCCCTTGAAAGTTGAAATGGTCCCCTGGGGTTCCATGTGAACCACTTTGGGAATCACTGCCATAGACCATACCATATTACCATAAGACGCACTTGTTTTGCATGACTTGACTCAACTCCGTACTCGCACGTTAATTATGCACTGTTGCAATATAATAATCATTTTATTTATCCCCACAGAGGATACAACTGTATCCATAGCATACAGCCTTCTGGACACTTTCAACTTTACCGGAAATCCGCATGACCCAGATTAGTTTCACGATTTGCTATGTCATTTTGTATTATTTTACATTTTTAGATTGTCCGATCCAGAGTGATACTTTCACTTCTCGATGCTAGAGCAAAATTCTTCGGGGTGACATAATTTATTTTGATACACATTCGGCTTAAATGTTATGTATGTACATGTTGTGCATGCACTAATTAATTCCAACATGATTGTTTAGTTGCACCGAACTACGTAATAACAGTATAATTAATACCAGGTTGTAACAAATACTAATTTTAATTACTTTAAATTAATACTAAAACTAGTTGAAAGCGGCATTTTGCCTTAAGACAATTTGCACGAACTTCCCGATACATGTAAATAAACAACTTAATCAATAAAAATTATCATTATTGTTAGTTACGACAAAATTAACACCTGTCACAACTACTAACAATCAAATTTTTTAATTGATATTTTTTAAGCAAAATTTAATTAACTTCCCTTACAGTAAGTTATTGTAATCGTCCAAAAATCAAAATTGAAAATTTTTGCGTATCTTCACGTTTTAAAGGTTTCTGAATATTTTGACATACCTTAGAAAAAATTTATGTGTGTCCAACAATTTTTTGTCCACGTTATCGGGCGCACGGATCAATCGATTTGAATGGTTTGACAAATATTTGATTTCTATATATAGGAATATATGCTGATTAGTTTTTGGTAAAAGTCGGTCCAACCGTTTCGGAGCTACGGGGCAAAGAGTACAGAAAATAGAAATCGTGTTTTAGAGAGATCCGATTGTGATGATCCAAATATTATTTAATTTGTAATGATGGGGAGAAGTGATGATTATATATTGGCAAAGGCAGGTCTAGCTGTTTTGGAGATACGGAGCTAAATATGCAAAAAATGGCTATTTTTGTAAGCACTAGGAATACGATTTGAATGATTTAAAAAACTTCCTGCTTGTATTGAGGAAACGATTGCTTTTTAAAAAAGTTTTTTTTACGATTTTTTTTTAATTTTCAAAAATTATTTTATTTTACTAAATTTTCATACACCACTAGTTTATAATTGTATAAATTAAATTTATTCATAATTTTCATTATTTCCAATTTTTTTTATAATTTTAATTCAACCACTTACATACCAATCGTTGGTATGTAATATTTTAGAATGCTACTTTAAACCATAGGTTCTCAAACTTTTTCGTGTCGTGGACCCCTAGGACTTTGCCATGGATCTTCTATTAACCCCATATCGAAAGCCTACTTATGCTACATTTTACACATTTTTATAAAACGTACAATATTTTTATTTACTTTTTAGTTCTATTTATAAATATTGTATATAACTTTTTTATATGTTGTATAATATAAGTAAATAGATATTAACGCGGTGTATTGTGATACAGTACTGTGAAGCTCTATTTTCATTTCGTAGACCTCTAGAATTTGTTTTTGCCATGTGGACCACTTTGAGAATTACTGTTTTAAACCATGAAATCTATCGTTAAGTAAAGTTTCATCAAAATCGCAAAGAAAAACTTTTCCAAAAAATTTTTTAATTGTTGAAGATGTTTGCAAAAACTAAAAAATAGTGCACCTTTCCGCTAATTTCTGAAGAAAACTAATCAACGTGTCAATTTAATATTCAGAATAACTGAAAACGTCGAGAAAATATGAAATTAGCAAATCGGATTTTCTGGCGAAAACATATACTGCTTCTTGTTAAATTTGTAATTAAAAAATGTATGAGAAATGGTACTATAAATAACAAAATCTTTTTGACAATGGCTTTGATTTTGATAATGGTAAATATTACAACAATTGTGGATATAATTTACACCTGTCCAATAGACATTAAGTAAATTACAACAAAACACATATGCAAAAATACGTTGTATAACAGAAATATTGAAATTTTTTATTTTGCATAACATATGTAGATCTACTAAATTCTATTTTTTACTGAAAAGTAAGTTTCTTGATAATCTGGGCAAAATGCTTGACAGCCAACTAATTTCCATAGTAATATACAAATAATATATTTAATTACATTAATTTAATAAAATATATTTCAAAATATTAATTTTGATTTTGCTCTTATAATTTGAGTTAGGAGCATATAATAAAACAAAAGTGTAGTATCATGATATTTATTATCGTATATGTTTTTAGAATAATAATGTGGTGAGGTCTTTTGTATATAATAGTCTTTATTTTAATTTGCAAAATTTGGAATATTCATGAACTTTATACTCAATTCAAATCTTTTAATCAGATCGCTCTCAACCGTTAAGAAATATCATCACCAGGGCTCATCAGACTCTTAAGTTCTGATTGCAAAGTACAATCACATTCAATATTCTTGCATCCAAGTATTTTTTTCTAATTATGAATTACTATTTCTTTACAATTAATGTGAAGATAATGTCAGGACTCAGCGTTGGAGTACCGACATCGATATTTCATTTCGACATCGGATGTAATTTGCGTGGTTATTAGTATCCGAGCATTTGCTCTGTAATATGTAGAATTTCTATTGCGATATGATGATAATGGTCTAATTTTTTTTTGTTACAGCGAACGCTTATTTCGCACCATGACGGATCTGGTCGTTTCGGAGGGATATGCGGCTGCTGGATACGAGTACATTAACGTAGACGACTGCTGGATGGAAAAATCAAGAGGCTCCAGGGGCGAACTGATCGCCGACAAGATACGATTTCCGAGTGGAATGAGGGATCTTTCTGAATATGTGAGAAACATTTTAAATAACACATATTGCAAGCCTTATATTATTTACTTATTTAACAGCCAATGGGTTGAAGCAACATATATTATTTATATAAAATTGTACGCTTTGAGAACCAAATGTTCAGCTAAAAAATATACAAAACTAGCGGGGTGCATGGCATCGTGCCTTAAGGCAAATTGCTGGAACTTCCCGTACCAAAAATTATTTTTAAAAATTATTTCAAAAAAAATTTACTCTGAAAAAATGAGATGTTTGAGAAACTATAAATTTGACAAAAAATTACTTTTTTTTGAAAAAAATTTTTTTTTTGAAAAAAAAAAGATGTTTCCTTTATTTTGACATATTTTGGAAATTCTGAACTTTTTTCAAAGCAATCGTACTGCTTAAAGTCCATAGTAACGAACTGTCAAAGCGCGTAAGCGCCGCGTCGACGTCTAACGGATAAACTTTGGTACGGAACCCATAGGAATGTAAACAAAATTTATACTTATTGATAAAATCTCTATAAAATATCTGATAATTTGATGTGCATATGTCTAATGATCATTTTTGACCGCCAGATGGCATTTTTTCAAACTTTTTTCACTAGATCTCTAAAACCGCTAGACCTGCCGTCATAAAAATCGTCGAGTTCTTTATCTTGTTAATACAAGTAAAATGTTTTTTGAATTATTCAAATCGGACGCTCCGTTCTCTTATAAACTGAGTTACCATTTTTGGCACTTTTTGCCCCGTATCTTCGGAACGGCTAGACTTGCCTTCGCCAAAAACTAATCAGCACGTCTCATTGTCAATACGAATCGAATATTTTTTGAATTATTCAAATCGGTTGATCGGTGTTTCCGAAATCGTCGACGAAAATTTGTATCCGCACACACACACATACATCATTTTTTTCTAATGTGTGCCAAAATATTCAGAAACCTTTGAAACGTAAAGATATATAAAAATTTTCATTTACGATTTCTTTCTTGTATCATTTTATAATAACAGAAATTAATCAAATTCTGCACACTAATCAGAGAAAAACACACTAAACGATTAAATAAAAGAAAAACTCATAATTCAAATTAAAAGTTGTACATTTATATATTTGGCAGCAATATGTAGATTAGGTTGGCAGTAAATGCCTGCTTAGATGGTTTCTTTTGAATTTTTAGATTTGGTGACATAAATCAATTTTTTTTTTTTATGTATTTTCATCTATTTGCACATCATGAAACATCAGCAAAGGTGGTACTTAGAATGTCTGAATCGGATGCCAACCTTTTGTTAGTGGGTAGTAGGTAATTTATACGTTTATTAGTAAGAGTTTTTTTATTGCGATTGCGTAGTTTTTGTTTGGCGTTAGTTGAAGGCACATTTTGCTTTTTTGTTTCTGAAAAGGTAAACGGCATCTTAACTTCACAAAAAGTTATGCAGTGTCAACATTGGTTTGCCAAATTTCATTCTATTGATTTTTCACTTAATGGTAGAAAACGCTCTGGTCTTCCAGTTGAAGTGGTTTTCTGTTCATAATTTTGTGCCCTGTGTTTTTATTTTTAATTTCCTATAATTTTTATTTTAAAATTAATTGTCTATCATTTTTATTATTGTTCGTCTTGTTTCTTTCAGTTTTAAACTTCCCGTAGGGTAAGTTATTGTAATCGTCCAAAAATCGAAATTGAAAATTTTTACATTTCTCGACGTTTTGAAGATTTCTGAACATTTTGGCATACCTTAGAAAAAACTGGATGTATGTGTGTGTGTGCATGTGTGTATGTGTGTGTGTGCGGATACAAATTTTTGTCGACGATTTCATGAACACCGATCATGAAACCGATTTGAATAATTCAAAATACATTCGGTTTGTATTGATAAGGAGACGTGCTGATTAGTTTTGGCGAAGGCAGGTCTAGCCATTCCGAAAATACGGGGCAAAAAGTGCCAAAAACGGTAACTCAGTTTTTAAGAGAACGGAGAATCCGATTTCAATAATTCAAAAAACATTTTACTTGTATTGACAAGATGAACAACTAATTGAATTTTCGTGAAGGCTGGTCTAGCGGTTTCGGAGATCTAGTAAAAAAAAGTTAGAAAAAAATGACATTTGGCGATCAAAAATGATCATTAGGCATATGCACATAAAATTATCAGACATTTTATAGAGATTTTAACAAAAAATATAAATTTTGTTTACATTCCTATGAGTTCCGTACCAATGTTTACCCATTAGACGGTGACGCGGAGCTCACGCGCTTCGATATTTCGTCTCTATGCAGTTAAAGCAGTACTATTGCTTTGAAAAAAAGTTGAGAACTTCCAAAATATTTCAAAAAAAAAGAAAACATTTTTTTTCAAAATTGTTAATCTTTTTAAATAAATTAATATTTGGTACGGGAAGTTCCAGCAATTTGCCTTAAGGCACGATGCTATGCGCCCCACTAGTTCTATCTTATCGTCGATGACAATGTTTAAAGGCTTTCCCAAATACAAGTATTATCCAATTTTCTTATTCAATATGGCCGATTTTTGCTCATTTTCTATCGTATCTCCAAATTCGCTGGACCTTCCTTTATCCAAATCTAACAATTTTTTATATATTTATATCGATTTATCTGTTCTGAGCAAAATGTGGCAAATTCGCACATACATACATCCATTCACACAAACATTAATTTTTTCTAATGATAAGAAAGTCTTGAAATTTAAACATATTAAATATATTTCATTGTGATTTCAAGAAATTACCCAGCGGGATATTTGTAATAGCAAAGTCATTAACTTAATTATGTAATGCAAATATAATTTTACAATTATTAAAATATTAGCTATTAATCTCACAATGACATTCCTTGGTGAATATACTTAATCTTTTTTATGAATTAAATGGAAAATAAGACAATTTATCAACACCGTGTCCAGAACTTCATAACACCGCGAATTTATTAGTAACATGCAGAACATTTTAGTCTTATCTAACCAGTGGCTAATGAAGTCGTAGTATTTTTTTTATTCAATCATATAAGAGGAAATAAATAAAAATGATATAAGTTATAAGTTTAAGATGCATAATAGAAAATGTTAAACATTTAAAAAAGGGTGTTTTAAAGTTATTTATCTTTTTTTGTTCAAATTCTTTTCATCATTGATAACAATTAAATTTTTATTGCACTATATATAGACTTGATTAATCGTCACATTTGTGAAAAAAAATGTTTATTTAATTTGAAAAATTAAATAAAAGTATTATTTAACCGAAAATAATATTGGCGGGATGTTTAAAAAATGAGTTAATTTCTTTAATTTAATATATTATTCTGTTCTATATTTTTATTATTATTATATAGTATTTTTTACATCTGTCTTGAATGGACAACAGTAAGAACTGCAGAAATGACTTCAAAAATACAAAATCTTCTGACCATGTCAGAAATATTGCAATTCGACATATTTTAATATAACATGAATTTCTTTTTAATGTTGCCCTGGTAACGTTGTGGTGTAGTTTTTTGGCGGCAATTGGTTTGGATGATCCTCGAGGCAGCTTTTGTATACTAATAAATAATTGTCTGAATGTGTTTGTATTTCATCGTTTATTGTGTTTATGATCGCATCTTTATGAATTAACCAATTCGGTATAACTTTGATTCATTCAAAATGTCTTTAAGAAATGTTTTTGGCATCATTGAATTTTTATCACGTTTGAGTAAGTTTTAATGAAGTCCTTTGTTCCTTATGTCTATTTAATGTATTTTTAAACTTTGTGTGTTTCATACACTGAGAAAGGTCAAATTGGTGTAGAAATTTCATTAAATAAATTGAACATAGTCTAGTTTTTTATTAAAAACGTATTTATAACTGGATTGATGCCTGTTAAAAAACGTTTTTGTTTTAATTGTTGAATGTGAAACACTTTTATCTAATTGTAAGTGATCAAGTTATCTTTCACCACCTGAAAAATTATTACACACACACACGCACACACA